AGCATTAGAACGATGAGCGCGGTTCACGTTACACTCGCCGGACAGCACCACCTAGACGACGAGCCACAGCACAGACTGGAAGTGGAGGGGAAAGCCTAGTTATTTACTCTGGAAAATCAGCCTAGATACAGAGGTGACGAAGAGCTTACCCCACGAAATAATTTGGCAAGACACAAAGATGTAAGACAGAGGGTCAAACTGGGACACTTTCTGCCAGTAAATTAAATAGAACCAGAAGATCTAAATAGAATTCTGCTTTCTTCACTTTTAGGCACCTATAAAACGTCCAGAGAATACACACCTTCCAAACTGAACTCCACTCCCTCACACAAGAGGCAAGTTCTGACAAAGGCCTGGTGAGTAAACCTCAAGAGCTTTATCGATAAAAGTCAAACCCTGCGGCATGACCAACCATTTCCAGCTTACCACTGTGCCCACAGCGAAGAGGACCAGCTAAGGAAAATACTGCCACGCGGCCTCGACACGCCTTCACGCAGCTCAACGATGCATCTACCTCAATCCAAGACAAAAGTAACACCTGCTGGGGGATTGGTCACTTTTGGGCATTCCATCCATAGAAAAGGACTACGAATGCACTTGGGACTTCGTTTCAATTAATTCTTAAACTTCTGTCAATAAACTGTTTAAAGTCTCATGTAAGCACGTTTTAATTTTGACCCTATTTTTAAATATTCTTTTGGACAAAATTTCAATCACAACCTTGGCTAAAAATCTCAAAGAGCATCAAGCATCATATATACTATCATAAAATAGTCTGTCCTTCTCTGCATTTTTAAAGATTGTTTTCGGAAACACGTTTAAGACAATGTTTTCCAAAACCTCCCCACTAACTACATCAGCCCAGCTGATTCCAATGCTGGAGCGTCCACCTGGGCTCCTTTTCCTTCCCCGGACCTCCGAGAAAGCGCCTTTCTCTCTCAGAGGGAGACACTCCTGGAGCCAGAGCAGTGGGCTGCACAGAGCCCCCCAGTCCGTACACAGAGCTGCAGGAGCGGAGCGTGAAAAGGCCGGGAGGCAACATGAGACCCGTCTGAGGTCTGCAACCTCTGTCCTCCAGTGCCAGCGTGCAGTGCAGGACATCTGGAATGTCCCCATCTCCCTGACCACCTACCCAGAAATGGGGGCACCATGGAGGATACTGAGGAAAAAAAACCCAAATGTTTATCCCAACAGACTTCTTTATGCCCCCAGAGGTCAAAAAAACACATGGCAGGTACAAAGAGTGTCTGCCCACTGCTGCTGGCAAGGTGGAGGAGGAAAACTCGGGGGAGAGTTTGGCAAGGATTCAAAGTGTTTCAAAGCCCCTACACCTTGAACCTCATAGTGCCCTATCCAAGGATTAACACCGATGCAAGGCCCCAACAGCGGCTCGCGGGTAAGTGCTGAAAACGCGGACGCACTGGGCTAGGCTTCCTCACTGCCAGACCATGGCTGTGCTAAGTCGTGGTCAAGACAGAGGAGCAGAACATGCGACATGTGGAGTCCTTCAGAAAAGGTTACAAATAGGGGTGCCTGGGTGGTTCAGTCATTGTCCACTTCGGCTCAGGTCATGTCATGATCCCGCATGGGAGTCCCGCACTGGGATCAAGCCCCGCGTCGGGCTCCCTGCTCAGCGGGAAGCCTGCTTCTCCCTCTCCCACTCCCCGCGCTTGTGTTCCCTCTCTCCCTGTCTCTCCGTCAAATAAATAAAATCATTAAAAAAATCGTTCACAAATAAAGACATAATTGAGAACTGAAACAAGAAATAAAACGGAGACTGGAAAACTATACGACAGAGCACTTAGTCCCCATTAGCAGGACTCGCTCTCTCGCCTACGTTGCATGTAGGTCTAGGACAATTCTGTCCTTGCTACGTATACCAGGCAAACTAGGGGTTCTCAACATAACATTCCCAAAAGTAACTGGAGAACCACAGTACCAGCTCCTCTGTCGTAAGCTTAAGCATCAACTTTAATTACCCCAACAGTTCTAAACAGGGGCATCTCTCGGGTCTTACCTTACTCCACCCTTAGGAACATGGGGGAAAAAAACCTGAATTCATCAAATCCCAAACTATTTCAAGGAAATGAAGGATTCAAATGAGACGCAAGATCAGTAGCAAAGAGAAACACAGAAGGTCGCCCAAGCCACAGGTGTGATTTTCCCACAGCTGTTTTTTCCCCACATTTAAAAATGTTTTCCAACTAAAAACCTAAATTGTTTCTCAAGGGTTAATAAATGCAAACTGCATAGCGTTCCTTTAAAATTAAAGCTCCCTCCGTAACCAGAACCACCTACTGGGGAAATGCCTGGTTTTCTACAGTTAATTAAGAGAATGATAGAATCATCAAGATGCTCAATTCCTCTTTTCCTTTAAGAAATCATAGCATAGTTTAAAATAATAAAAAACAGCATAGTTTAAAACTTAGCATAGTAAAAAAGTGGTAGAAGACATTACCAAAAACAATCCATTACAAACATATTGCACTCTGAACTCTCAGAAAAAAAGCACCTTGACACATTCTAGAACAAAAGCTAATCTGCAATTCAAGCTCAGTTTTAAGGATTGAATCTGTCCTTTCAAACAGTTCCTCTCATCTTTCAGAATGCATAAAAACGAAGCCTGTAAAGCCCAGAACGCATATCAAAAATGCAAGGTCCTTCCCTGCCCGTTCCCTTTCTACGTCGTTTTCTTTTTTTTTTTTTTTAAGATTTTATTTATTTATTTGACAGACAGAGATCACAAGTAGGCAGAGAGGCAGGCAGAGAGAGAGGAGGAAGCAGGCTCCCCACTGAGCAGAGAGCCCGACGTGGGGCTCGATCCCAGGACCCTGAGATCATGACCCGAGCCGAAGGCAGCGGCTTAACCCACTGAGCCACCCAGGCGCCCTTCTACGTCGTTTTCTTTAAGGCCCCTGGGGAACTGCTGCAGAGGGTCAGCGCACAAGGCCAGGTCAAGGGGCTTGGGAACAGACCAGCCCCTTCACACCGTGGAGATCAAGTCTGGAAGCCCCAGCTGGGTTCACACCACACCAAACTCCTTTCTCTGGGTGATTTCCTAAGCGGGGAGGGGACAATCAAAGCGACAACAACTTGAGGGTTTTGATGTGCTGTTTCCTCACTTTAATTATCTCAAGTAATTATGAGTTTTAAGTGTGACTTTCAACTGAGCTTGGAAGAATATGAACAAGGTGCCTGTTTACTAGAAAAGATAATTTACTCTTTAAAAACAAGTCATCCAGGGGCACCTGGGTGGCTCAATGGGTTAAAGCCTCTGCCTTCAGCTCAGGTCATGATTCCAGGGTCCTGGGATCAAGCCCTGCATCGGGCTCCCTGCTCAGTGGGGAGCCTACTTCCTCCTCTCTCTCTGCCTACTTGTGATCTCTGTCAAATAAATAAATAAAACCTTTTAAAAACAAGTCATCCAAATTTCCTTGTAAACAAAAAATGACTAGGGGTGCCTGGATGGCTCAGTCATTGGGTGTCCCAGGGTCCTCGGATCAAGCCCCGTATGGAAGGGAAGCCTGATTCTCCCTCTCCCACTCCCCCTGCTGTGTTCTCTCTCTCACCTTCTCTCTGTCAAATAAATAAATAAAATCTTAAAAAAAAAAAATTACCATCAACTACAAATTTATTGAAGGCCTATGGTATGCCTAGAACCGTTCTAGGGGCTCAGGAGAGGTTAGTGACCTCTTCCAGTGCGTCTCCAAGGGAACTATTCTAGAGAAGAGCTGGAATATGAAATTCCAATAGCAACCTCTTGAACGTGAAGGATGAGAAGTTTTTAAGACTCACCTTTAGTACCTCCTTAAAGAGTCCCACACAAACTTGTGAGATCATAACCTTAACATGCAAACTGAATTTCAAATTTAGCGTAACGCCAAGCAAAACTTGGTTGGAAAAAAATCGTCTCACGACACAAGTCAGGGAAAAGCAAACCTTGCTGCTAGCAAAGCGCGTGCTCACAGCCCATCAAGCGGCCAAGGGTAAAACCACAAGGCCCTTCTGCGACAACGTCTCCCCTCCCAAACAGCCCTTCCGTCATGCATAAAAACAGTCTCCGGATCTCTTAACTCCTGTCGGATTCCAATTAGCAGGTAAGTGGTCTGTGTAACGTTCCCTCACAGACTGGAGGGCTTCTGGGTTTTTTCCTCCAAGAAGCCTACAGGAAGCCTGTCCTTTCAGGAGGGAAACCTTCACGGAATCACCCTACAGCACAGGTTCTGCTGGCGAGGCACTCCCAGGCTCTTCTCTACAAGCCTGACCCCACGCGCGGCAAGCGGGATGAGGAGCCAAAAGCTAAGGGTGGTAAAGCCGCAGGCACAGAGCTGACCCCATGCACCGTGACCGGTAATTCCCAAATCAAAGAAGAGCTCGACTTCTGGATCTACAGCACTACTCCGAGATCAGGAAAAACCAGAGCAAACCGGGTGAAAACAGGGGTTCCCAGAGAGCTGCCCCGGGAAAACTGTATGCAGCACCGAGGTGCGAAGTGACAAAATCTGACCCAGCGCGGAGAAGACACGCCGCCCAGTTCGCTCCCCCAAGACAGAGCTTAGCCTGTCTCTACCCTAAGCGCCAAGTGTGCCAAGTGTTCGCGTAAAAATCATCTAATTTCTGGCTGGAAAAGGGAGTAAGGCTGGGAGTGTCGGCCCAGCTCGTCCTGACCGCCGCTGGGAACGGCGAGGGGCTGACCCAGACCTAAACGCGGGTCCCCGGGGAACGCCTGAAAGCAGCGTCCGAGCGGCGGCGGGGACCGAGGACTTGGACGGCAGCCCCGCTGTCGCCAACGCGGGGCACCCGCCCGAGCCTCCGGGCTTTGCTCACAGAAGCGAGGGCCAAGCTGGGGTCCGCGCACGGCGGCTCCTCCCCGCCCTGGGGGCGCGTTCCCACCCCGGGGGGCCCGCGAGCCCGGCCTCCGAGCGCCGCTGCGGCGGGCCGTGCCCCACCCCCGCCCGCCGCCCCGCCCGAGCCGCGCCCCGCGCCCGCCGCCCGCTCACCTCCAGGCGCAGGGAGGCCCCGCAGCCTCGCAGGAACTCGCGGATGTTGCTCAGGCACTCGCTCTCGTTCCGGGGCTCCGGGTACACCTGCAACACAGAGCACAGGCACTGAGCGGCGGCGCGCGAGCCGCGGACGCCACCCGCGGCAGCCCCGGGCGCTGGCCCCGCGCGAGAGGGCGCGGACGGGAGGCCCCGGCGGCCCGGAGCGACCCCGGCCGCCCCAGTCGCCCGCCCGCTCGGCCGCCGCCTCTCCTCACCCTCTTTCCTTCCTCTGGGCTGCACCAATCTCAGGCCCCTACCCTCTCCAGGAAGTGGGCCGCCGCCGGAAGTGACGTCTTCAGACCGCGCCCCGGCCGCCCGGCGCGCGGTCCTTCCGGCCCCGCCCTCCCCGGGGCAGGCGCGGCGCCCTTGGCCCCACGCGTGGTTGCAGCGGGCGCCGCCTCCGCGCGGCACCTGGTTCTCGTCCTCGGACACGGTCCACCCGGCCCCGCGCGCAGGCTCCTCCCGGCAGCCGGTCCTCGGGCCCGTCGCGTCGACACCGCCCGCCCACCTGCAGCGGGCGGGGGAGAGGCCGGCCCCCGCGGTGAGCAAGCCCGGGAGGGGCTGGAGGGGACCCGCCCCGGCCTGCGGCCGCGGACCGAGCGTCCTGCCGGGGCCGTGTGAAGTGCCTGGCGCGGACGTCGTGCGTGTTGGGATGGACGCGCCGCGTGCCCCCCCGCACGCCCGCGTGCCCCGAGTGCCTCAATGCTTGACCCGACGGCGAGGCCGGCAGCGGGAGAGCGGCCGCCGCACGGCCCGGGAGCTTCGAGCGCGGCTCCTGCGGGCCGCCCGCGGCTTCGGTCACGGAGGACCCCGGGGCCGCTTCCACACGGGGTACCTGCCGCTGACAGCCTCCGCGGGCAGCAGGGCTCGGGAGGGCCGCGGCGGTCCCCGTAGTGCAGGGCGGGCGGCGGAGACGCGCCGAGACCCCGCCCGCAGCTGCCGCCCGACTCCGAGCTGAAGCCTCCGTTTCGGGAGGTCCCCCAGGGCGGCGTCCGAACTGCAGCGTGAGGACGTTCCCGCGCTTTCGTCCTCCCCAGGGAGACCGCGCATCTCTCAGGCCCACAGGACTGCTCTGGTTCGCTTCCAGGAGCTCCGGTCTTTCAAAGCTTGAATCCGACCCAAAACCGGCGTGTTGAGAGGTGTGAAGACGACAAAAATCAGACTTTTCCCCCCTACAATTTAAAAAGTCTTAGAAGAAATTGCCAACATGTTTCCTCCAAATTGAAGTTTTTGTTTTCCAGTGAACAGCTGAACCCGTGCTGTTTCCTCGTCCCCTGCTCGCTCTGTAAGAGAATCCTGAAAAGGCGCATACGAATATGTAGTGAAAATCCTTCATGGTTTCAAATACTGGCAAAATTTCCATTTCGGATGTCCTAATGACTTCTGAAACTACTAAGCATCCTTTTAAAAATGTCCAGGAGACTCCAGATACAATAGAAATACAAAACCCATTCAGTCTTAAAGAATTATCGACAAGCTCTTATTTAAAAGTCAGAAATTTTACATTCTTTTCTCCCTCAACTCACTTCCATTCCACATCCCCCAACAAAACAGCACCCTAAACTAATATATTTTTATACTAAAAAATTTAACTTTTTTTGCAAGAGACCCATATAAATACAGTCCGTCCTCGTTCACGGATTCTGTGCAAATTCACCCACACGGTAAAATTTGTAACCTCAAATCAGTATTTGTGGCTCTTCCTCATTTATAGACACGTGCAGAGCAGTGAAGAATCTGAACAGCCTTTACACACACATTCGTAGCGGAATTTGAACAAGGCCACGCTCTGCCACCTTATCTCAGCTGGCAATGTAAGCAGGTATCCCTTTCACAGTCTACTGAAACCACATTTCTCACATTTTTGTGCTATTTGTTGATTTTACTGTTTTAAATGGCCCCCGGGTGTACTGCTAAGGCACTGTCTAGTGCTCCGAAGCGCCGGAAGGCTGTAATGTGCCTTACAGAGAAAATATGTGTGTTAGATAAGCTCCATTCAGGCCTGAGTTACAGTGCTGTTGGCCGTGAATTCAATGTGAACGAATCAACAATACGGTACATCCAGAAAAAGGAAGAGGACATCCGTCGATCTGTGCACGAGGCCGCTCCAGAAAGTGCTAAAGTAACATCGATTGTGCATGATGGAGCTATGGAGAAGATGGAAAAGCAGCTAAATTTGTGGATTCAAGAGATGACAATCAATAAAAAGAGCATAGTAGAAAGTGTTGTCGTGAGGATGAAAGCCAAGGAAATTTATAGTCATGTTACCCAGGGTCAGGAAAAGGTTAAACCCTTCTCAGCCAGCACAGGCTGGCTTGCAAGTTTCAAAGGGCGATACCACATGAAAAACGTTAAACTTGTGGGCAAGGCAAGTCCTGCAGATCAGGAAGCTGCAGAAGAATTTAAAAAGCATCTGCTAAGCATTATACATGAGAAGGGTTATATGGAAGAGCAGGTTTTCAATGCTGACGAGACAGGCTTGTTTTACAAAAACGTCAGCAAACGAGCCTATATAATGCGAATGGCCTCCAAGGCTCCTGGCTTTAAATCGTTCAAAGACCATGCAACCTTGCTCCTGTGTGCCAATGCCAAGGGTGACTTTAAGTGCAAACCCCTAATGGTACACAGAGCCCAAAACCCCCGGGGCACTTAGAGGGAAGAAGCTAAACCGTATGCCAGTCCACTGGAGGTGGAACAAAAAAGCGTGGATGGCATCCGAAATATTCCGGGACTGGGTCCACAACGGCCTCATCCCAGAAGCTGAACGCTATCTCCACAGCAAAAACCTTGCCTTCAGGATTTTATTAATTTTGGATAATGCCCCAGCTCATTGCCACGAAGAACTTGAAAACGCCCATCCCAACATAGAAATTCTCTTCATGCCCCCAAACACTGCCTCTCTCATCCAACCCCTCAATCAGGGCATAATAAAAGCTTTCAAGGCACACGACACCAGGGAGCTTTACAGCAAGGCTTTTGAGGCTCTCGACGCCAGTGAGGAAACCACCATGATGGACTACTGGAAATCTGTCAGTATACGCAACGTTAGAGATTATGTCAGCACAGCCTGGGACAGCACAAGCAGGCTACTATTAATAACTGTTGGGGATGGGACGCCTGGGTGGCTCAGTTGGTTGAGCAGCTGCCTTCAGCTCAGGTCATGATCCCAGCGTCCTGGGATCAAGTCCCACATCGGGCTCCTTGCTTGGCGGGGAGCCTGCTTCTCCCTCTGCCTCTGCCTGCCATTCTGTCTGCCTGCGCTCGCTCTCTCTCCCTCTCTCTCTGACAAATAAATAAAAATCTTTAAAAAAAAAATAATAACTGTTGGGGAAATGTTTGGCCTGACTGCGTGAAAATTTTTGAAGGCTTTGAAGGTGTTACAGAAAATACAAAGAACAGTGTCAAAAACATAATGCATATTGCACAGCAGATAAGTGGAGAGGGCTTCAGAGACATGAGGGAGGGAGACGTGGAGGAAATTTTGGCAGAAATGGCAGTAGAACCCACCAAGAAAGATCTGGACGAGATGGCAAAGCCTGGCACTGGTGGCAGCGATGATGATAATGGCAACGAAAGTCAGCCCAAGACTCCAAGAATTGTCCCTCTCACAGCAGCCAAAATATCGGAATGGAATTCTGCTCTGGAAAAAATTTTAATGATATGGAAGAGTGTGACCCTGTGCTGGAACGCAGCCTCACATTTCGGCATCTGACCTCCACTGCATTCGTCCCTTATGCTGAAACACTTAAAGATTTGAGGCGAAGAGCCAAGCAGACAAGGCTGAAGGAATTTTTCAAGCCAGTCTGGGAGGGAACGTTGCTGACACCATCACGAAGTTGTGAAAGCCAAAGTCCTGGGGTGGAGCCACCTGATCCCCCATGCCAGCCTCACTGACGTGTTCCTCTTCTGCCAAGTAAGTCACACACTCTCCTTTGGTTTTCCAAGGGGCAAGTCAAGGTCATGAGGTTTAACCACACTGCCCTGTGCCCCATCACAGAGTAAGCTCTACCACAAGTCAGGTCTTCATTAATGTTTTCACAGGATTCCAAGTGTTCTGTCTTGATGGAATGCTTTCCATCGTGACTGTCCTGTGCAGCGTAGAGTGTATATGTGTGTGCTGTGTGCACACCATGTGCAACTGAACAGGAGAGGCCGTCACTGCATGGTGCTGTACCTGAGATAGTGTTTCCTTATGAAGAAACTGATTTGTAAGGAACACATATTAGATAAGCGGTCTTCACATACAAATACCACTAAAACAAGATCATGTGTCGACTGGTAGACAAAGTGTTGTGATCTGAACTCCGAGGAAACCAACCCTGCACTTCCCCAGGAACAGTGGCTCAGCAGTTGCTAGCTCAGTGCTCACCTGACTGCAGGACAGCTACCAATCACAAAAGTCAGCTCTAATCTGTTTCCGTAGTGTAGTGGTTATCACGTTCACCTAACACAAAACTCAGCTCTGCCTTTAAGATTGCTAAGCCGTCAAGATCCAATGGTTACAATTTTTCTTCCAAAGTACCACAACTAGTATGAGTCCGCCAACAATAGGAACAATACATTCACAGTTTTTGAGGAAAATTATCAAATGTAAAATGTAAGACTTTACCTGGAAATGTGTATCTTAATGAGATGTAGAGGGTTTCTTTAATTAGTTCATTTATTCATGGACAGCTATCCCTTATTGCATAGAGTCCGGCATTAATTCTGTTCCTGTCTTGGGGGTTGTTTTATGCAAACACTGAGAAACCTCATTCCTAAAAATAAGTAAATAAAAAATGGAAGGAGTTTTGTTATTTTGTAACTTCATTCTTTGATGCCTTCTGAATTACATCACCAAAGTCCAGATATAATCAATCATCAGTAAAATTTTGAAAGCATCCATTAACAGCATGATTAGGGTCTCCTTGCAGTCTCTCTGAAAGTGATCAGGTAGAAACCTCTGAGCTGCAAAATTCCAGACTTTAAACCCTTTGCTTCTCAACACCAGGGGTATCTGTCTGTTGGTTACACAGCTGGAAGGTTTTCCATCTTGGAGCAATGTG